TGTGGAGAATAGGATTATGGGGCAGAGTGACAGTGCTCAAGTTATCACACAAGATCTTAGGCACTTGAGGGGAATAATGGAGTTCCTTAAGCAAGGACTGAATCCAAATAAGTTCAGCAGCTAGCTGAGCCATACTGCGATATTCTGCTTCAGCACTGGACCTTGCAACAAGCTGTTGCTTCTTAGACCACCAAGAGACAACATTAGGACCAATGTATATACAGGCCCCTGAAGTGGACCTCCTGTCATCAGGGTCTGATGCCCAGTCTGCATCACAGAACCCTAGCAATTGCATTGGTTGCTGAATGGAAGCAGGCTGAATAAGAAGACCATGGTGTAAAGTACCACTTAAGTACCTTAAGATTCTCTTGACAACCTTCCAATGGTCCTATAAAGGATTGGACAAAAACTGACAGACTTTGTTGACAGAAAAGGAAATCTCTGGCCTAGTTAAAGTAGCATATTGTAGGGCACCAACCACAGACCTAAACTGAGTAGGATCATCAACAGCAGCTGACCCAACCTTGGACAATTTGCTGCTAGAGACCATAGGAGTGGGCATGCCATTGGCATTCAACATATTAAGCTTGGAAAGTAAATCTGAGATGTACTTAGTCTGAGATAGGAGAAGGGAACCATTGGAGAGACGAGTCACTTGAATCCCTAGGAAATAATCAAGTTGTCCCAGCTGTTTGAGAGAGAATCTATCATTGAGATGCTTGATCAAGGAAGCTATAAAAGGAGCAGAACTACCTGTGATGATGATGTCATCAACATAAACCAGAATCATAATCTGAAGTTTACCTTGATGTAGCAAAAATAGACTAGGATCACATCTACTAGCCTTAAAACCAAGTTGAACCAAGGCACTCTTGAGCTTATCAAACCAGGCCCTAGGAGCCTGTTTTAAACCATAAATAGCCTTGTTTAACTTGCAATAGAAAGAACAATTCTCACAGTGACAGGTTTAATGACAGGGGAAAAGGTCTATTGAAAATCACTACCAGCCTTTTGATGGAACCCTTTAGCCACTAATCTGGCTTTATACCTGTTTATGGAACCATCAGGATTCTCCTTAGTTCTGAAAACCCACTTGCAGCCAATAGGTTTCCTACCAACAGGAGCTTTCACCAAAGTCCAGGTCTGATTTCTCAGCAGTGCCTGATGTTCTTCCTTCATGGCCTGAAACTAGTTAAGAGCAGCCAAGGCTTGCTCAACAGATGTAGGTTCTAGGTGGGCTAACAATAGGGTAGGTGAAGTATAGGGAGAGTAATACCTCTTTTGGCTCTAGTTTGCATAGGATGGATATTTTGAGGATGAATGGAAGGTAAAGCTGTGGCAGCAGGGCTGGGAATAGGGCTAGGACTGGGACTGGGGTTAGGACCAACTAAAGGAGAGGAATTTAGAGAAGAAGAAGGAGAGAGAGTACTAGCTTCAGCTAGATCAGAGAGAATGAGAGCAGGAGAGGAAGAAGGAGAGGTGGTATTGGGAATGGCAGTAAGGGGTTGAGGGATAGGCTGCTGACCAGAAGAAGAGTGGTTAGAGGGAGCAGGAGAAGCAGAGGAAGGAGACATGTGAGACACATGAGGGACATTATGATTACCAGGCTGAGTAAAGGCAAAATTTGAGGAAGAGGAAGGAAGACTAGATGAACTGGGAGCAGAAGAAACAGATACAGAGGGAACAGGTGGAAAGCTGAGAGGGGGAGAGGAGGAGGATGCTGATTTAGAATGAGATGATGACTTAGAAGAAGAGAATAATGTGGAATAAGGAAAATTTGCTTCATGGAAAACAACATCCTTGGAGATAAAGATACGGCCATCTGAAGCAAGACATTTATAGCCTTTATGAGAAGTAGAATACCCAAGGAAGATGCATAGTTGAGATCTAAAGTCAAGCTTATGAGAGTTATAGGGACGAAGGAAAGGATAACAAGCACATCCAAAGACTTTAAGAGTAGAATAGTCAGGAGGTTTGTGAAGTAATTTGTAATAAGGTGAGACATTGTCAAGGGTAGGAGTGGGAATTCTGTTGATGAGATATGCAGCTGTAACAAAGGCATGATCCCAGAATTTTAAGGGGAGAGTGGACTGAGCAAGGAGAGTGAGACCAGTCTCAACAATGTGCCTATGCTTGCGTTCAACTAGACCATTTTGGTGATGTGTATGGGGACAAGTGAACCTATGAACAATCCCCAAATCTGTGAGATATTGAGTAAGAGGCCTAAACTCTCCTCCCCCGTCAGTTTGAACACATTTAATGGGACAGTTGAATTGAAGTTCTACCATTTTCTTAAACTGAAGGAACTGAACCATGGTGTCAGACTTAAGTTTGAGAGGAAAAACCCAAACAAACCTAGAGAAAGCATCAACACATGTTAGGAAATAGGTATAATCACTGGATGATTGCATAGGGGCAGGACCCCAGAGATCACACACAACAAGCTCAAAAGGGTGAGAATAAACAGTGGCAGATAAGGATGAAGGAAGTCTATGAGACTTGCCAATGCAGCAAGCATGACACAACTCTGCAGGTGGTTTGGGAGGAATAGACAGTTTACACAGTTTAAAAACTTCAACAAGAGCATGATGGTTAGGGTGTCCCAACCTAGTATGCCAAAGCACATATTTATTAGATGCAATAGATGCTGCATGATTAGAGTGTGGTGAGGGTAAAACAGTGCTAGTAGTGGCAGAATTTAGAGAAGGACTGAAAAAGGAACTTGTAATATTATTATTGAAAGATTCATTACAAGGAGACAGATGATTTGTAGTATTACTATCAAAAGATTCAGTACAATGAGGCATAGTATCTGTCATGTATGAAGTATTACAACTGTTTGTTGCAGGAAAACTATAACGAGAACTACAAGAGTGGAGAGACTTGGACAGTTGAGGAGCAGCAGGATTGGGAAATTTATAGAGGCCATCAGCACCAACAAGACCACTGAGTAAAACTTCAGAAGTAGCCTGAGATTTGACAACACAAAACTTAGGGTGAAATTCAAAAAACACAGCATTATCTTGAGCAAATTTGCTCACACTCATAAGATTTTTGGTGATGTGAGGGACATGTAATAGATTCCTAAGGGTGAGGGATAGGTGAGGTTTGTGAGGTAAGGGAAAAGACATAGAACCAACAGAGTTGATAGACAAACCTTGGCCGTTACCTATGAAGACTTGTTCAGTTCCAGGCACAGAAGCAGGGTCAGACACATTAGAGGCCTCAGGAGTAACATGATGAGAAGCTCCTGAGTCAGGATACCACCATTGATTTGCGCTACTAGCTTTAGTACCTGCATAAAAGGCCTGTGGTGCAGAAGATCTAGGAGGTGCAGCTTTGGGAGAAGCATACGCAAACTGCACAGGATAAACAGCACGAGGAGCCGAAAGGATTGAAGGGAGCACGTTGCTGTGGATAACTAGCACCACTGGAATTTGTATAACGATAGTAGCATACTGAAGCATCATGACCAGGTTTGTGACAAATCTGACATGTTGATTTGCCAAAACGACCTCCACCACGGCCAAAGCGACCACCGCCGCGACTAGAACGACCACCACGTGCGCCATAGGAATGATTTTCAGCATTAGCGGTGACATGACTCGTTCCTTGAGGAAACGCCTCCGAGACGACTTGATCGGAGGCGACCGGAGCAGGGGAAAGTGCTACCTGAGTAAGATTGACCGTCGCCGGCTCTGCAATCACAGCTTTGCGATGTTTCTCCAGTCGCGACTCATGAGCAAGCAAGGAAGACTCCAATTCTTCCAAGGAGCTTACGTCATCTTTGCTATTAACGGCGGCGACATAGAATCATAATCCTCAGGTAGCGAATCAAGAACGACCTCAATTAGGTTACGAAGAGGAACAGGATCACCGATTGAGGTCAGCGACTCACTGATCTCACGTGTACGCGTCATAAGCTCTTCAATCGTCAGAGAACCCTTCGTAAGACGCCGGAGCTCCGATCGGAGTTGACGAGCCTTGGTGGAGAGAAGAACGGCAAAGTAACGGTGAACTTCTGTCCAAACTTGCCACGCGTGCTTGCACTCAACAAGCTTTGGAAGAAGCGCATCGGAGATGGTAGAAAGAAGCCAGGTGCAGATGAGAGCATCCTGTTGCTCCCACTCAAGAAACGCACTGTGAGATGCAGGATCTGAAGGTGACGGTGGCGGAATCACCGGAACAGTAACAAACCGTTGAAGACGATGGCCACGGACGACACCATCAATCTGCTGCTTCCACTGTTTGAAATTCTTGTCATCAAGCTTAACAGAAATTAGGTGAGAAAGCTTCACCTGAGAGGAAGGGAACAAAGGCTCCATGGATCAAAAAAAAAAACTTAAGCTCTAGATACCATGTTAGAGTCTGGTAGACGATAGAGAATTGAAAGAAACTCTCATTATATTGATTGAATCACAATGATACAAGGGGCTGCTATATATAGCAATGCAATCCTAACAAACTAGCTGAGTCAGTATAACAAACTGACAGCTCAGCATAACAGAATAGAAAGATAAAATAAGGGCATGTATTATATACTACTCTATTAGCATCCCGTGGTGGATTTAAAATTCCGTGGCATTTGTGCTAAAGGAGGGTACAAATTGGGTTTTTTATTTATTATATCTATCTATTCCCAACTTTCAAAGAACAGATATAAGAAGTTATGTCATGTAGAGTTGAAGTTTTGTTTTGTTACTCTAGTTAATATTAGCAATAGATTTTTTTCAACACCCAATTATTGGATGAAATTGCATGTGGGCCTCATTGTTAAGGAGTGGTTCCATGTTATTTAGTGGGATCCACTCAAGATTTCATGTAATAATAAATGATTTTGAAAAGAGAATGAAAGTGTGTTTTACTTGTTAGCACTCCTTGGTTTCATTTATATCATATCGAAATTATTATTTTTACTTTTCTATTCTCCCCATGTTCATGTTGCAATGCTGACATATATTATTCTGAATTGCTAGACTCATCCTACACAATCTTGTTTCATGTCATCAATTGATGTTCACACCCATTACTCATATCAGGTGAGTTCAAGAGAGGTTTCTTAAATTTTAGCTGTGATTGTTATTCATTGATGTTGTTTGCCTTAAACTTTGAGATGTATTTCTGCTATTGGCCATGAGTATGAGGAAATGTCAGAATACAAGAGAATATCTACTGCTGAGGTGTTACTTGCAGATCAAATTTCAAGCACTGTTTTATGAATTGATGACTTGCAACTAGTCATTCTTGATTCAGTTTTCAATTTTTTTTATGTCAAACACTTAGTTGAAAGTATTATATACAATGTAGAAGTTTAAACTATATCTGAAATTCCATTTCTTCAATGCTGGTGATTTTGCTAAAATTTGCTGCTTCTATCATTCCTGTTAAAGATGAGCCTATTTATAATGCACTTGAGTCCTGTTGGAATCAAGCTAATTAATTTTTCTATTTCTTTGCATTTGACTTTTAATCCTATGCGAATGCTTGTCTCTGTAGATTATGTTGCCAGAAGCTGTTGCAATTGTCATGGCACCAACCGACAGTTCAAGGTAACATTTTGTCTCGAATGTGTCTTGATAGGGAATTTGAGAAGAAAGCATACTATATATAAAGAAAGAAACCGAAAGATAATAAGTAGAAAGCAAAATAAAAGATATATTAAACCTAGACAAACAAGTAGACTTCTCTATAGAATAACTATAACCCATATAGAAATGTTAGAGAACTCGGATTCTATGATAATTCTTTAATCTTTCAATATAATCCATGTTTAGAAATAAAATCTCTAAAATATTCATTATGAAAGAACATATAAAATAAATATAAAAACATTATTATAATGTCTCGCCTCTTTGTTCTCCTACATTAACATGTTTAAGACAATTTTCTTCACCTAAAAAGAAATTAGTCAGAAATTTCTTAGTTAGATATAATGAAGATTGTACTGAATTTGGGTGTTGAAAGTTTGTGTATTTTGAATAAGTTGTGTCTATTTACATGTATCAGAACCCATGGTATTTTTCGGCTGACAACCCCCGGTGGCATGTCGGTCATTAGACAATGCCAGCAACGCGGCTTTCATCCACATAATCAGCCTCCAGATGGCGGTCCCATTTATGATACATGTACAGATGTTTTCTTGAATCCAGATTTAAAATTTGATGTCATCGATCTTCGATAATAAGAGTTTTTTTTTTCTTTCTCTAGAAGGGTCAAAACTAGTCTTTGAATTGTTCATATTACCACACTTTCTAAGATATATAGATTTTACCATTTATCCAGCAACATCAAAATGTAATATCACGGAAATGTATATCACGTCGGCTTTATTTGTAAAAGAAGAAATGTTGCTCGTTGACAGTTATTCTTGGCTTTTACAGCTCTACTTATTTTGTAACTATACACCAATGGCCTGTTTGCCATTTTCTGTTCTGTAATGCATCCAGGAGATTTGGTGAAATCCTAAACTACTTGTAAAAATATTCATGATTATTGCCTTGTGGTGAATATTAGTGTATTACATGACAACATATATCATACAAGAAACTCTAGTTCTTCTAAATACTCGAGTGTATTACTCACTGAACAAAATTACCTCAACATGTCTATGTTTATATTTTAGACATGATTTACTCTCTCCCTTCAAATTATAATCATTTTAAAACCCAATTTCAAACCAGTTTGATGGATTGATCAATGAGATTTATAAGCCAGTTCAGTGTAACTTGTACAGCAGTGCTTTTAAGTGCCAATAAGTCAATTAAGATTGTAGAGTTCAATAAAAAAAATTAAAGAATGTATTAAATACTTCCTGAATAGAAGTAAGATATAATGATGCTGGACTGTGGCAATTCGTTGTTCATATTTGAAAAAATTACTCCCTTAAAATAAATTTCATAATGAAATGCGATTTTTTGCACATAGATTAAAAAGATTAAGAATGCAATAATATTATTATAATATATTATATTTTTATTAAATTAGTCTTAGTAATACATTAGAAAGTAAAGAGTAATAGTTAAATAAATAATCAAAGAATAATAATTATTTCTATATTAAAAAGTAAAATGATAGTTATTTTAAAATAAATTTTATTTATTAGAACGACAGTTATTTTAGTATGTAATAGGGGTTCATTACAAGTCTTTGAGTCTCGTTCATGAACATATATGTCACATTTAAAATATAAATATTCTAAGTCTGCATGATTACATTATCATAAGTCTCTATAATATTCCCAGCAAGAATTTCAGCTGTACGAACACTTTCCCTCCATAGTTGCTTTCATGCATTGAAAGTATATTCCTTACCAGAAGAACAAACAATGCGTCTTTACAGGACAACCACCACCTATGTAATTGAACCATATTATAAACGAGTGACTGATCAGTTTTTTTCTAGCCAAAATAGCAATCATGACCAAGTTTCTACACCATTTATATCAATAAAATGAAGATATGAGATAAGGACTATTTTGTCGGTACATGGGTCTTGTGTATTGAGATATACACACATGGCAAATTGTGAAATAGGTTAGTTGTCTTGGTTAAAGAAGGAAATAGGTTGCTATCTCTAAGGGGTCCTTCCTCAAAGAAGGTATATAAAAAAATCAGTTATGTTTAACTGAATTAGTACTTAAATTTTTTTTTTTTTAAAAGTGCAAACTAAATGTTGAAATATAAATATGAGTATCTATTTTTTCATACAAATATAAGTCGGTAACTTTAATAATAATATAGTTTAATTATTGATTATATTTTTTTTATATTTTATTATATACACATTATAAATTAAATTTATATTTTGAATTCTTTTAAATTTTTTTTTAGATTAAAAGAAAATTATTTAAAAAATTCAAAATTCTCTTCATTTGTTTTTTTAAACATGTTATTATCTTGCATATGATAAATATAATTGTTTGGTTAGTTTGTATGATTTAGCTTTTAGTCTTTCTGTGAATAATAAATTAATTGTTAAGTTTAGATCTGATTAAAACTATCAATGATATTACTTCTCTCCATTTGAAATTTTATGATAGTCTCTCCCTGTGAATCAGAAAATTACATAGCTTAAAAAATTCAAAATTTTCTCCATTTAAAAATTATTCAATTAATTTTATTTTTAATTTTTAAAGAAAAAATATTTTAAAATCTCATAAAATTTGTTTAACTATTTAAATTTAAAAATTGATATTAATTTAATAAAATTAAAATTTGAATTTAATTAAATAATTTAAATTAAAATTAAAATCTATTTAAAACCATTTTAAACCAGTTCAAAACCGATTATAAATTTTAAATTGATTTTTATAAAAAATGATTTACTTTATAAACTATAATCATAAAAATAATTAATTTATATTAAGTGGTTATAATGCACACCCCTATCTCAAAGGACACTCCAGCTTTCCCGATAATATATTGTTGTGTTGTTGACAATTTGTCCTTGCATTAGAAGGAAGACCTAAATATTTCCAATTCACAACGGGATCTGCTTCGCTGTGGTCATTGAATCAAGTGATTAGCACATATTTTAATAGCTTTTTTGATTAAGATCATATGTTAGAAATTAATTAGACATCGAAAATTGTAAAACAAAAATTAAAAAAAAAATTCTGAATTATTTGATCTTGATTGAACGGTTAATAATAACTTAAATGTGTGCAATGGAGTGTTGGAGGAGGTCTTAAGAGAAAGTAATATTGCAATTGATGGAAAAGGGAAGCATGTTTTAGGATTTTTAATTAAAATTAAATATATTTGTAATTTTTTAAAATACTTTCTTTAAAAAATAATTTTCATAAAATTTTTCATCTATATTTTCTATCTCTATTACTAAAACCGTCGTTAATATTATTATTAATTCAATTACAAAATAAAAAATTATTGTTAAAATTGTCGTTAGTTCTATTGCTAAATTATAAAAATTATTACTAAATTATATAAAAATGTTGATAAAGAATTTCAAGAAAATATTATTTGAAATAAATATTTTTAGAGAATAAAAATGCAATTTAAAATATTTAAAAAGACTGCGAATATATTTAACGATTAAAATTACTTTTTGAACTCTTTGATTATTTTATATCTAAGTCTATTAAGACCATGTTCCATTTGACCAAGTTATCTATAATAACTTGAACGACGGATAACACTAATTTCTCTTCAAAGTAAAATAAGTGACCCATTTTTGGAATTTTGGAAGAGGAAATACAAGTTTTAATTTGTAGAAAAATAATAATAATTGTAGTCCTTGTAACAAAAATCCAAGTCTTTGTGAGAGTTGGTCCGTAGATATTATAGTTTTGTACTTCAACTTTTGATACTTTTTTTACAGTAACTTTGATACTTGATATAAAGCTGAAAAGGTTAAACTATGAAAATATTTTAAATATTTAATTAAATAGAAAATAAGTAGTTAATATTTATTTATATTTAATTTCCTAAAGTACGAGGCCAAATTTGCGTATAATTTATTTGGGGGACTAGTATTTGATAGCGCTTCACCAACTAGATTATTTTTTTGTTAGTGATTGTTTATTTTTTATATTCTATAATATTCGAGATGAGATAATATTGTTCCTCTTATCTACAAAATTATACAAAAATATTATGGTTTTTTCTTCTTAATGGTTAGGATAACAACCCCTCAAAGACATATCTTATACAACAAGTCATAATATACCAAAATATTCTTCTTTCAATATCAGAATTGCAATTTATTTTTATTTTTAAAAGCTTTTTATTTATAAATATTAATAATTTATGTAAATTAATATATAATATAAAATATATAAAAAAATGTTACTAATACATATTAAATTTTAGATTAATAATTTACACTCATCTATCTCAACTAACACATATCAATTGGATTATCTCATTTATCCTTTCAAAATTAGAATCTGATCTTAAGAAAAAATATTTTATGATTATTAAATTCTAGAAGACTAGCTTTGCTAGGGTTTGTATGACAAAGCTTCCATTTCAATGTGTATGGAAGTTCATGACTTTGTCGGATCAACTTTTCAGGCCGCCACAAGTGTTCTTAAACCTAAATATTTATTGCAAATAGTCAAAAACTCAGAGGCAGATGACGTCCAATGTGTTGAGGATGTAGCAAGTGTGAGTAGTGTGAGTAATAGTCCCACATTAGTTAGGAATATGGAGACTTGAGCATTTATAAGTGGGAGAACCCACACACTTATTACCTTAAGATTTTAGGTGAATATATGGACTGTCTCTCACAATGATGTTGCTCTAAAAAAGAAGTCCCATAATATTCAATGCTCCTTAGTTGAAAAACTCATCCAGCATAATGCAGTTCGCTTCCAAAATCAATTCTCAAGGGTGATACAATTAGCCTAAAGACTACACAAGAAGAATACTACAATGGAGTGGAAGAGTGCAAAAATCATTTTCATGGTCATTTAATCATTGCAAAAAGGGATACTTCTCTTACAGCACGTGACTTAACAAAAAAATGATGGTAATTTATAATGGCCTTGCGCCGTGGGGATTCCTACCGCTTGGGAAGAGTTTATATGAGTTCCCTTTTGGATCTTAAAAAATAAAAGAAAGGTTTTGTATGCAGGTTCATATAATTTACAATCGAGATTGCTTAGGTTATCGAAGTGGGAACCAAACTTCAATCCATACACCAAAGTACAAACACACATTCAATCATAGGTGTGATTCTTATAACCTACCTCAAGAATATTGAAGGTCTCAAACCCTATTTGAAAATGCTGAAGGAATTGATTCACCGTTGATGATTGATAAAGTAACACATAAATGGTCTTTCGATTATTGGCCACTCGGTCAAGGTTCGTAACAAAATACAAAAAACACACATCACATGAGAAAGAAAAATCTACTATTGAGGCACGAAATACAAGGGTGGTACCAACTATAATTGTGGAGCAAAAAGAGTCCCAGAAGAACAACATGGGAAAGGTTACACAACATTTATTATTTCGCGAAATAAAAGTGGAACGAATAAATTTGTGGAACAAATGGACGCTCAAGAGAATAACATGGGAAATAATTACACAACACTTATTATTATGCAAAATAAAAGTGAAATGACTAAATTTGCATAACAAAGAGATACTCATGAGAACGATAATGTAGATCCATATACTAAGCCTAATGCACATATAGTGGCTAAATTTATGGAACA